ATGCTCCCCTTGGAGGCCAGCCATCGTAGGGATCATCCGTTCCAGCTATCCTCTTCCTACCCTGTCTTGGTGGCGGGGGCTGAAAAAGAATGGAGCTTCTCCACCTTGACACACTTGGGGACCCAAAAGAATACCTTCCCATACACTCACCAGAGGCATGATTTTGGTGAGACCCCAGAAACAGACAGGTAGAGGCAGGTTGCCTCTTTTTTGTCAGCACAGATGTCCAGAAACTGCTAGAGATATGAATCACTAGGAGAGTGGAACTTAAGATTTGGAAGGAGTAAGGAAAGGAAGAGGAGGCAGGCTGACATCTGACTTTCACTGGGGAAGGGAATTAAGTCACTGAGTGACAAGCAGGACACCTTGGACACCAGCATTTCTGGATCATAAAAGGCAAACCAGAACAGATGCTTGGTCCCAAAAAGCTCCGATATCCTCACACATTGAGGGTCCATCTACAGAAGACATGCAGGCAGCTCTTCTGGGTCTCCCCTTTCTGCACACTGAGTCTCTGGTGTCTACTGACAGAGTACCTGGGTCCCCTCTAGACTTATACCCTATCTTATTCAGTGAATGCTCTTAGGCCAAACAATCCCAAATTCTAGCTAAATTAACTTCACAACTGCCATTGGTCCAGTCCTTGATCCACCCTGTAGCCCAGGCTTAGCCTCAGTCCTTGACTCCAACCATGTCACAGCTGCGGCCATTACCTCTGAGTCACATTTAGGCCCAGGCCAGACCCAACCCTTAATTCCAACCATGCCCCAGATTCAACCACCACCTTGGGCTCACATGGAGACTCAGGCTAGACTCAATTCCAGTTCTTGACTCCAACCATGCCCCAGTGTCAATCATCAATTCAGGCTCAAGTGGAGATCCAGGTCCAATCAAAACTCTATGGATTTATCTCTGGGCTTTCTATTTTGTTCCATTGATCTATATTTCTGTCTTTGTGCCAGTACCATACTGTCTTGATGACTGTGGCTTTGTAGTAGAGTCTGAGCCAGGCAGGTCGATTCCTCCAGTTCCACTCTTCTTTCTCAAGATTGCTTTGGCTATTCGAGGTTTTTTGTATTTCCATACAAATTTTGAAATTATTTATTCTAGTTCTCTGAAAAATACAGCTGGAAGCTTGATGGGGATTGCATTGAATCTATAGATTGCTTTGGGTAGTATACTCGTTTTCACTATATTGATTCTTGCAATCCATGAACATGGTATATTTCTCCATCTATTTGTGTCCTCTTTGATTTCTTTCAGCAATGTTTTATAGTTATCTATGTATAGGTCTTTTGTTTCTTTAGGTAGATATATTCCTAATTATTTTTTTTTTCATTGCAATGGTGAAATTAAAGCTTCTGCATAACAAAGGACTAAGCAAGGTAAAAATACAGCCTTCAAAATGGGAGAAAATAATAGCAAATGAAGCAACAGACAAAGGATTAATCTCAAAAATATACAAGCAACCCCTGCAGCTCAATTCCAGAAAAATAAAAGACCCAATTAAAAAGTGCACGAAAGATCTAAACAGACATTTCTCCAAAGAAGACATACAGATGGCTAACAAACACATGAAAAGATGCTCAACATCACTCATTAGCAGAGAAATGCAAATCAAAACCACAATGAGGTACCACTTCACGTCAGTCAGAATGACTGCTATCCAAAAGTCTACAAGCAATAAATGCTGGAGAGGGTGTGGAGAAAAGGGAACCCTCTTACACTGTTGGTGGGAATGCAAATTAGTACAGCCACTATGGAGAACAGTGTGGAGATTGCTTAAAAAACCGGAAATAGAACTGCCATATGACCCAGCAATCCCACTTCTGGGCATACACACTGAGGAAACCAGAATCGAAAGAGACACATGTACCCCAATGTTCATCGCAGCACTGTTTACAATAGCCAGGACATGGAAGCAACCTAGATGTCCATCAGCAGATGAATGGATAAGAAAGCTGTGGTACATATACACCATGGAATATTACTCAGCCATTAAAAATAATACATTTGAATAAGTTCTAATGAGGTGGATTAAACTGGAGCCTATTTTACAGAGTGAAGTAAGCCAGAAAGAAAAACACCAGTGCAGTATACTAATGCATATATGTGGAAGTTAGAAAGATGGTAATGAAATCTCTGTATGCAAGACAGCAAAAGAGACACAGATGTATTGAACAGTCTTTTAGAACTCTGTGAGAGAGGGTGAGAGTGGGATGATATGGGGGAATGGCATTGAAACGTGTAAATTGTCATATGTGAAATGAATCACCAGTCCAGGTTTGATGCATGAGACAGGGTGCTCAGGACTGGTGCACTGGGATGATCCAGAGGGATGGGATGGGGAGGGAGGTGGGAGGGGGGTTTAGGATGGGGAACGCATGTACACCCATGGCTGATTCATGTCAATGAATGGCAAAACCAATACAATATTGTAAAGTAAAATAAATTAATTAAAAAACACTATGGAGTTATGACTCCAACCATAACTCACTTTAAACCACTACCTCCAGCTCATGTGGACACCCATACTCACCCCAACCCTAGACTCCAACCGCAGCTCACTTTCAAACATTACCAACTCAGGCTCACATGGGGACCCAGGACCGAACCCAATCCTTGACTCCAATCAAACCTCAGTCATAACCACAACCTCGGACTCACATGGGGACCCACTGACCATCTCACACTCTACTTCCCAATGGAACCATCTTCCTCTCAACTGAAGACTGACTGTGACGAAGTGTCTTGACCTATAGTCCAAAATAAGGCACAAACTTTGATCCTCAATGCAATTCAAATCATACAATGTCACTTTTTAAAAAAGCAACTAGAAAGTGGGCAGACTTTACCCTCTTTGGTTAGAAAAATCTCAGCAAGTCTTTAGCCAGATCACCCCCAATCTTCCCCAGGAAAACAGGTCTTCCCAGGCACTCATATCTGTCTCCATTGTTCCTGGGGATTTGATCAGCCCTGAGGTTCAGGAGAGACTGGAGTGCCCTCTTTCCAAAAGGTTCATGCAGCAAGAGAGTGGCTGCCCCGCAGAACCCAAGAGTCTCAGAAAGTGATGCAGCCTCAGGGCGAATCCCCAAGGCCTTGGCAGGCAATGGACACAAAGAGATCCTCAAGGCCTTCTGCAGGTCTAGGCAAAAGCAGCCAGGAAACACAGAAAATGGCATCCTGGTACCTAGCAAGGATCCCAACAGGAAAGCACCAAGATGTAAAGCAGAGCATGAGGAGGTTCCTAAAAGTTTTGTGCATGACCTCAGCAAACCCTCCAGTGAAGGTCCCAAGTGCAAAGCCTGAGTTAGAAAGAGAGTTGAGCCCAGGCAGGAAGCATCCAGAAGAAATCCTGGGGGTCTTTATAAACAGAAAGTCACAGCAGATCCATGAGGGTTGGATCCCTGTTAATGTCTATTGTTCAAGGCTTTCTGCCAACCACTTCATAGACCTTCCTGGACAGTCAAATGTTCCTATGGGAACAGAAAATGCAGGTTGTTCTCAGGATTGGGAAGCTTCCATGTAGACTTCCTATGAGTCTCTTGTCCTCAGTCCTTATATTCGACAGGAGCTGGACTCTCATATAATAAAGTTTCAGGTGAGGCACAGATGGGTCCTTCTCCTAGGTTCATATATAGCTTGAAGTTGAAAACTTCTCATCACATACGACTTCCAAGATCCACCTTGAAGATTACCAGTGACTCTGGGGACCACCCAAAAACCCAAGTTAACAGAGGGCTCAGGAAAACATTCATCCCCATCCAGGAGAGAAAGTGATAACAATCCAGGCAGTGCCCACCCTAGAGAGTACCTGCCCTGCCCCCTACCAGGCAACTGAGAAAACCTGGAGGGGGGCTCTGGGAGGAACCTCAACTGGAAACATCCAGAAGCCCTCAGAGGCCCCTCTGACTGGACAGGAAGACAAGCCACCTTCTCAGGCCCCCACACACACCTTTGGGGGCAGAATTTGGCACAGTGAGTCTATTGTGGAGGCTGACAAAGGCAGCTTGGAGCCCAGTCCACATCCAGCAATGGCCAGGAATGAACCACAGGAGGAATCTGGGGATTGGGCCACCCCAGAAACTTGCTCTAGTGTGACTGTCATGGACCCTGATGAATGTTCCCAATCTTCCGTAAAACAAGAGGCTGTGGAGGGAGACCCTGCTTAGAAAGGTTCTTTTGAATCTAGTCTACTAATCAAATCCAAATAATTAATATTGATATAAAATCATGGTCTCCAGGGTCCCATAAAAATCCCTCCTCAAACACAAAGTCTGTTGCCACAAATCCAGAAGATGTATACTTTGATGAACAGTTTCATAAGCTTAAGTTCCAAAGGTTCATAGACTGGCAGAAACAGGCTCAAGGCCAGGCCACTTGCCTGCTCTTTCAAGACTGTGCCACTGGGAGGCTTCTCAAAAACTGTCACTCAGATATATTCATTGCCACAAACACCTTGGCTTCCCAGGAAACTCTGTGCTGTTCTGAAACCCTGTCCAATTCCCACACATGTGATGTTATGTCAAGTGGAGGGAGCAGCCAGGGATAGCAGAAAGCCCTGAGAAGGCAGCCCCAACATAAGAGTCAGCAAAGGAAGTTTGTCTCCACTGATGCGAGAGAGACTAATAGGAGGCCCAAACTACAATAGCATAAAAAGGGGTTGGTGGTACAGAGGTTCTACCAGGCCTGCAGGATGAGCCACCCTGGCCAGAAAAAGGAATCAGCAGAGTCCCTACAAAATAGTTAATCCTGAAGAAGGGACAGGTTTCTTCAGAAAACCACTTTAAAGAAAGGATTAAGCACTTTCTGCAGTGGATTTGCCCCTGAAGGCAAAAGACTGGAACAAGCCCTGCAAAAAGCAAGCCTGCAGCAGACACTGCCCAGAGGCAGGGGACTGTCAAAAGAAGTCTGATTGCGGACAGCAAGGCTGTTGAGGCTCAGGCTGTCATAACTGACATCTGTTGGACAGATCTTATAGGAGAAGATGGAGCTTCACCATGGACCACATCTTTGGAGCTTCACTGGTACAAAGCAGAACTGCAGGCCCCATTAAGTCCAGCTTACTGCTACCACGGCTTTCTCTGAAATCAAGAGCAAAGGAGAGTGATGAAACAAACAGCCCACCACCAGCGAGCTACCCCCATAGGCCATATGTATCCTACAAAGAGGAAGTGGACCAGTCCCAGGAACAGCACATGGACCTTCCCACCCAGGGAGCCAGGTCCCCGGCCAGGCAGAGCCTGCCAGCACGGATCAAGAGTGACAAGTGTCCCAGGCCATCCCCTCCGCAGCCCAAGGCACTGTCTTCTTCAGAAATACACCTCTGCTGGTCAATCAGAACATCCCTGTCACAGCATTCCTGGTAGGAAAATTCTTCTCTAAGAAAAAATGCATACTGTGCATATGAACAATTTTTCTATCATGTTAGCACATCCTCTGTGTGTTAAAAGCTTCTTCCTACCAAAAAATTTTTTTCTGAAATAAATGTCTTTTCTCCTGAGAAATGGTGCTCTGTCTGTGCCCTGCTTGGAGAAAGGAAATGGGTCAGGGTCCACTCTTCCCAGGCGCCTGCTTTGACTTCCATATGGGATGGGGTCATGGAAGGAAAGTGAACCCCAGCATGGATACTCATCCACACCCTAATTCCCTCCCTGCACCTCAGTGTCCAATACCAGCACAGCATTACAGAAACAAGCAACAGCATTCAGGACATGTCATGGTGAACTAGACCTGAAGACCTCCCTCTTCTCAGGATGCAGCTCAGTCCTGCCCACCTCTCTCTCTGCCTTGAATTTGTGAGTCTGTAGGGGAAGAGTTTGCCCAAGCTGAAATTCCCCCCAGGCTCACAAAGTGTCAGAAGCAAGTTCACTCGTCAGAATAAGGAGGGGAGTTTGGGGCAGTGCTGGCCCCGAGTCCAGGGTGGGAGAAACCTCATCCACATGTCATGGTGGGATTAGATAATGCTGTCCTGGAAGCTCCTCCTCTTCCAGATGGAGCTGTAATAAGACATGCCAGGCCTGTCACGCTTCCCCTGTTTTTCTCATGCTCTGGAGCAGGGGTGAGAATGAGGATCGCACTCTCAGCTCTAAGGGTTGCAGTGTGGAGCATGAGGCCCCTGAGGGCTGGTCCACCCCTGCCCTGGAGAAGAGGAGAGCTCATAGTACTCACCTCTGCCAGGGAATGGGCAGGGGGCATGTTTGGGTGCAGTCACCTCACTGTCTGAGGGTGGGCACAGTACCCCTAGTGTCAGATACAGGGAAAGGAGGCAGGTGTCAGAGGTGCGCAGAGATGGTGCAGTGACCAAGGAGCCCCTGGTGTCCCACCAGCATCTACATGCCAAGAGGAAGAAGTTACGGGATCATTGGCTCTGGGTGGCCCCACCCCAGAGCCTCCCCTCTACTCCAGTTCCCAGAGCCCAGACAGAGGGAGGTCACCTGGAGTCCCTGACACAGGGCCAGGCCCTCAGAAGCAGCAGAGCCTCCAAGCAGGCAATCTCCACCTCTCCAGAGTGTAGTTAATCGGCTTTCTCGGGACTGAGAGCTCAGCACAGACTCGCGGTCCGGGACCTCTACCTATGCATGTGGCCCAAGGAGGCTCCCAGAGGACAGGTGGCACTCAACAGGCCCAGGGGCTCTGCTATGTCATAGCAAGTCTCAGCTGTCATCAGCCTTGCTCAGCCCTGAGCCTGGACATGGAGGCAGCCAGCAGGCAGGATGTGTCATCTAGTGTGTGGGAAGTGACCTGTAGAGAAGGGTGCAGTCAGCTATCTTCCCCAGGACCCATCTACACAAGAAACTGTGAGTCACTCAGTCATTTCCAACTCTTTGAGCCCTGCAGGCTCCTCTGTCCATGTAATTTCCCAGGCAAGAATACTGGAGTGGGTAGCCATTCCCTTCTCCAGGGCATCTTCCTGACCCAGGTATCACAGCCAGAACTCCTGAATTGCAGGCAGATTCTTTACCATCTGAGCCACCAGGGAAGCCCTGGAAGGCAAGGAGACAAGAGCAATTCTCTAGAGCGATTCGGGGCTCTGTGTCAGAGTCACTAGTTGGGTAGAGAGACTGGCTCCAGGAGGGGGCACTGATCCAGGTGACAGCTGGGATGGGCCTGCCCCCACACCTGTTAGGACCCCCCCACACGGGACCAGGTCCAGGTCTGCATGGCGGCGTGCACAGGCCTGCTTGTGCTGAGGTCTCTGCCTGGAGCCAGGTCTTGCCTCTGGGCCCCATCGCTCAGGGTGGGCACAGCAGTGGGGGCTCAGACAGGGTCTAAGGGAGTGGCTGGGACTCAGGGCACAGAGTGGCCTCCAGAGCTCAGGAGAGAGGGAGGCACACGCAGAGACTCTGAGCCTGGGGGCTGCCTGGTCCTCAGAGGCATCAAGAGGTCAGTGCTGAGGGTGGGGGAGCTGACCCCGAAGACACCTGTGCGGAGAAGTGACACAGAGGGACACCAACAGAACAGCAAGGAACCAGAAGGGGAAAATCCCTGTGCCCTTCTCTTGTAAGGGGCAGCACAGTCAGCAACCGAGGTGCCCTCACTAGGTGTCTCCACACAGAGACCCACACTGTTTCCATAGGGGGACCTCCCACACATCCACTCAGAAATCTCACCCAGAGACCGCTCAGGGCATCCCACAGAGACCTCTCTCTGAGACCTCCCATGCACACACCTCCCAGGTGTTCCTTAGGATCTGAGTACCCACCTGCTGACGCGTCCTTCATGGGGGGTCTGATGTTAGGTAACAAACAGGCAGCACAGGAGAAGGACCAGGGATGGTGCCCCGCCCCGAGCCCCGCTCCCAGAGCTCCAGACATCCAGACATCATCAGCATTGCCCTAAACAGGGGAGTTCTCTGCTTGGGGACGTGCTCATGCCTTCTGTCCTTTGTAACCATTGCCTCTGATCAGAAGAGTCATGGTGCTCCACGTGCAGACCTGCAAAAGTCTTTCTTCCACAAATCTTCATTAGCTTGAGCTCTGCCCCATGGCTTAGAGAATCACAAATTTTAGACATGAGTTAATTGCTGCCAACCTCCAATGAAAGCATCTTATTTATCCCATTTATTCACCTTCCTGTCAGATGGTGCCAATATCATAAGTTTTTCTTTTCTGGAGGATAAGATCTGAACTCAAGATGCAGGTTTCTTTACTTAATGCAGCAAGTGGGCTCTAGGAATAAAATAAGCCAGCAACAAGGTGTATGGAGTTTCACTCATCTCCCAGGGGGCTGTGCAACTAACGCAGCATTTTGTACACAACAGTTTGTGTCCGCCTTGGGTTGTATTTTTCAATGAAAAAGCTAAAATTATGTGTAGGTTTTTCAAATAAATCATATATCTGGCAATATTCCTTTTTGGTCCCCTGAAAAAAAATACACTTATTTCTTCCTCAAAATGTGGTAATGCCCTCAAATGATATTATGCATATTTCCAACATATAATAAAATCCTAATATCCAGGTAACATAGCTTAAAGTGATGAAATATTTAAGAAGATTCAGTATTTAAATATTTTTTTAAATGTACAATTTCCAAGACTCAAATGGACTCCATTTTATGTTCATTACAGGCAAAGAAAGGATACTTTGCCTCAAATAGTGTTGAATTTACCAAAGATATCATTTAATCTCTGTTTGGTGTATACTCATGGCCTAATAATATGACCAGAAAGGACTTCACATATGAACTGAAGAAAGTTACATAAATAATCAAAGTGTACATTAGCAATATGCAAATTGTAAATCAATCATCAAAATCCTCACATTGTATGTCCAGCCTTTTCCAAAGGGGGACTTCATTGATATCACAGACATGCTTCTCATTGCTCATATGCAACTAGTTTCCTGGCTTTGTTAAAATTGACTTTAATGATAGCTGTCACGCATTTATCATTATTAAGTCAGATTATCCACTGGATGACAATCTCCTGTAAGAGAAGCAGAGTTGATAGAGGGCTATTTTGGCTTATTTATTTCAGTCAGGTTGCCCTAGTAGTAAAGCACCTGCCTGCCAATGCAGGAGACATAAGAGACATGGGTTCCATCCATGGGTTGGGAAGATCTCCTGGAGGAGGGTATGGCAACCCACTCCAGTATTCTTGCCTGGAGAATTCCATGGACAGAGGAGAACTGCACAAAAAAGCTCTTAATGACCCAGATAACCACGATGGTATCATCACTCAACTAGAGCGAGACATCCTGGTGTGTGATGTCAAGTGGGCCTTAGGAAACAATACTAAGAACAAAGCAATGGGGGGTGATTGAATTCCAGCTGAGCTATTTAAAAATCATAAAAGAGGATGTTGTTAAAGTGCTGCACTCAGTATCCCAGCAAATTTGCAAAACTCAGCAGTAGCCACAGGACTGGAAAAGGTCAGTTTTCATTCTAATCCCAAAGAAAGGCAATGCCAAAGAATGTTCAAATTACCATTCAGTTGCACTCATCTCACATGCTAGCAAGATTATGCTCAAAATCCTTTAAGCTAGGCTTTAGCAGTACATGAACTGAGAACTTCCAGATATAGAAGCTGGGTTTAGAAAGGTAGAGGAACCAGAGATCAAATTTCCTATAACTGGGGGATCATAAAAAAGCAAGAGAATTCCAGAAAAACATCTACTTTTGTTTCATTGACTATGCTAAAGCCTTTGACTGTGTGGATCACAACTGTGGAACATTTTTAAAGAGATGGAAATACAAGACCACCTTAGCTCCACCCCGAGAAACCCGTATGCAGGATAAGAAGCAACAGTTAGAAATGGACATGGAACAACAGACTGGTTTCTAATTGGGAAAGGAGTATGTCAACTCTGTATATTGTCACTATGCTTTTCTAACTTATATGCAGAGTGCATTGCACGAAATGTTGCAATGGATGTTGTTAAGCTGGGGCTTAGTTGGCCAGGGTCCCTCCAGTTCAGCTCAGTCACTCAGTTGTGTCCGAATCTTTGCAACCCTATGGACTGTAGTACACCAGGCCTCCCGATCCATCACTAACTCCCGGAGCTCGCTCAAACTTATATCCATTGATTCGGTGATACCATCCAACTATCTCATCCTCTGTCATCCCCTTCTCCTCCTGCCTTCAATCTTTCCCAGCATCAGGGTCTTTTCCAAGGAGTCCGTTCTTTGCATCAGGTGCCTAAAGTATTGCAGCTTCAGCTTCAGCATCAGTCTTTCCAAAGAATATTCAGGACTGATTTATTTAGGATTGACTGGTTTGATCTCCTTTCAGTCCAAGGGAGTCTCAAGAGTCTTCTCCAACGTCACAGTTCAAAAGCATCAATTCTTTGGTGCTCAGCTTTCTTTATGGTCCAACTCTCACACCCATACATGACTACTGGAAAAACCATAGCCTTGACTAGACGAACCT